TCATATGAAAAATGCCATAATAAAAAAACATTGTTTATTCTCTTTATTATTTTTTAATACGTTGCAGATTATCTGACCTACCACATATTTATCATGCAACAAACTTTGTGGCGTTATTATTAATAGGAATGGGAGATTTGGAAAATGAATTATTTTGGATCCTGTTGATTGTAAGTAACAGAAATCCAACTATATCTCTTAAAAAATATAGTAAATTTATTGGCTCATATAACTGAAATTCAAGAGATAAGGTAGGCTTTTCTTCTCTGTAGATCATTTTATCCTTGTCCTCCTCCCTCCATCAGCAGCAACCACAGCCATATTTCCAGAGAGAGAGAGAGAGAAAGAGAGAGAGAGAGAGAGACTTTTTCCATAACTAAAGAATAAAAATTACAGTGACGAGACCATGCCAGAATCAATGATTAATCTGGGGATTACCATGTGTGGATTGGCTTAGATCTGGCTGGCAAGAGAGTGGTTTTAAACTGGGAATGAGCCACTATGCTTACGTGACAGCAATGGAGCTGAGAATAGGGCTGACTTTTCCTGAAGTGGATGGATTTCCTAATTAAATGGTGGGCACTTAAACAGAAAAATGACATTTTATTATTAGGAGGGGGAAAGATATAGAGAGCCAATAAATGTTCATTACATAAAGCATAATTGAAAGAAAGGAAATGGAAGAGGGAATAAAGGAGGAAGTAAAGAGTTGCAGGAAAATTTCTTGGAAGAAAAGACAAGAGTAGGTAGTGGCAACAAGGCTGCTAAGAAAAAATGGAAGATGAAACAGAAAGAAAAAAGCAAAGAAAGGCTTAATTGGGAAAGACAGAGTCTGAGTTTAAGGGAGAATAAGGAATTACCCCAGGAAATTACCCTATTTCTTAACCATTTTTAGTGAAGGATTTCCAACTTTTGATTTGTTTCGTTTAGCTTTTCCTCTTTCATGAAACACTTGAAAAATAAAATTTTGCTAATAATTGTTGTGGCTGTGCCTTATTTTCAAATTTAAGGTGACGCTTGCTGATTAAATAAGAACTGCGTATTTTCTTCTCAGACTACAGACTGGTGCGTTATACCTGATGTATCCCTCTTCTGTCTGTTGACTGCTTGTCATAGACACTATTGGTTGGCCATTGGTCATGTCCAGCAAAAGTTCTGGAAGGTGTACCAGCATGAGGGGTGCAGCAACTAGACAGAGTTTTCAAAGAATATACGACTAAGTGCAGTAAACGAAATTTGGCTCTCTTTTTTTAAGAAGAAGGATACTGAGTCTTGTCAAACCATGTTTCCAGGGCTGGGAGGATGCCACCATCATGATCTCCTTCAATGTTACTGAGGAGATATTAATTAGCTGGTGGAAGAAGCTGAAATATAATGACCACTCAGAGTCTACAGTCCCAACTGGAGAGATCCTTAACATATATTTCAACATTTACTGTGTCTTTAGCAGATCTTTGTTAAAGTAGTAACAGATCTTTGTAAAAGTAGTTTCTTTGGGTACAAAAGCTTTAATATCATCCTCTCACTGCAAGCATTTGATTTTCCAAATTTCTACTTTGGTCTTTCATAAACAGGGAGAAGAGGGAACTTTTTACTTATTCACAATAGTCCATTCCAACTGCTAAAGAGATCCAGGCTGCTAACAGCTAATGGATAAAACTGAGAGATTTGAGAAGACAATAAATAAATGTACAGGACACTGAAGGAAGTATTTCTGATCCCTGGCAACTGTAATATTGAATAGCCAACGAAGACAGGCCTCTTCAGTAAACAGCTTGGTGTTTACTCCTCAGTAAACAACAATCTGGTAGTGTGCTTTGAATAGCATTGAACTACCTCTCTGCTCCAAACATTTTTTTCCCTTTGACTTTGCCAGGATGATAAAAATCTCTGTTTTGATCATGATTTGGGGTTTAGAGTGAAGGATTTTGTGAAATTAAAATATCAGATAACCCTGTGCAACTTTCTCAAGCCCTTTAACAGAAAGACTCAACTTTGCAATGACAATGAAAACATGTCTTTGTCTATTTTCTGCTGCTATAACAGAATACCATGGACTGGGTCATTTATAAAGAACAGAAGTTTACTTGGCTTCTGGTTCTGGAGGTAGGGAAGTCCAAGAGCATGGTGCCAGCATCTGGCAAGGGTCATCCCATGGCAGAAGGTGAAAGATGAAAGCAAGTGCATGAGACAGAGAGAGGAAATTGGGTCAAATTCATCCTTTTTATCAAGAACCCAATCCCATTATAATGGCATTAATCCATTAATGAGGGCAGAGCCCGCACGACCTAATTACCTCTTGAAGACTCTGCCTTTTAATACTGTTACGATGGTGCCTTGAGTTGAATGTCCCCCTCAAAACTTGATCCCTGCTGTAATTGTTGAGGGTGGGAAATCCTATTATGGTAATTGAAAGATGGGGCCTTGAAGAGGTGATTAGATTGTAGGACCATGCCATAGTGAATGGATTAATACTGGTGGTCAGGGGCGTGGTTCTGAGGGCTATAAAAGGAGAGTGAATGAGGAGTTGGTCTCTCTCCCACTCCCTCTGATCCACCATTTCTGCAATGTGATACCCTGCCATCACCGTTGCTACCACCAAGACCCTTTTTCAGATGTGTTACCTGCACTGTAGCCTACCCATCCTCTGAAACTGTAAGCAATAAATTTCATTTTCTTATAAATTTCCCTGTTCTGTGTATGTTGTTATAAGCAACAGAAATGGCTGATACAAATGGCAATTAAATTTCATCATGAGTTTTGGAGGGGACACTCAAATCATAGTAATACACTTGGAGTTCAGGGGACCATGTGCAACCTTTCTTTATTGTTTCTATGTGTTGCCACTCAGGTGGCAGAGAGAAAACATCTCATGAATCTCTGACAGACTCTCCTGGTTTTCTTTACCCTTTTTTCTTTTCTATCTGTCTCTTCTCTCCTCCATTATCCTAAGTCTTTCCATTCATTCTTTAGGTCAAAGGTCAAGAAGACCCAATGGACCTTTGACTAAAAATTCAAGACCTGTGCTGTTCTTTACAGTAGCTACTAAACACATGTGACTATTGAATACTTAAAATGTGACTAGTGTGAATGAATTTTAAATTTAGTGTACTTTCAATTAATTTAAATTTAAAAACTGAAGGTACTATGCACCACTAAACACAACTTTCTTGTTTTGGCAGGACTACATTTCACTTCAACCTTTGAAAATTTACCATGAACTGAGATGTGCTAGAAGTATAAAGTACACACTGGAGTTGAAAGATTTAGTATAAAAAAGAATGTAAAATGTCTCAATAACTTTCATATTGATAATGTTGAAATAATATTTTGGATAATTAGTATTAATATTAAAATCAATGTCACCTGTTTATCTTTACTTATTTAATGTGGCTATTAGAAAATTTAGAATTATATATGTGGCTCTCATAATTCTAATAAACAGCAATTTCTAGATTCTCACAATCTTCAGGATAAAGCATCTGTTGAATGCAAACAAGCCATTCTCTTAGTTACATATGTCACCTTTTATAGCATAAATTCAAATCTAAGAGATTCTCTTCCCTCTGGGCTGAGAAAAACAAGGGAAGTAGAATGAACCTCATCCTGAAGACCTCATCAATTTTAATACAACATCACTGAGAATATCAGATTAAGCTGCCTTCAGGGGTGGGTAATGAAAACACTGGGCTGAAGAAGATTCAATGGTTGGGCTGGGAGAGAAAGGAGAGGGAGGCGTAGACAGGTAGGAGCATCCTCCAACTTGTGAAACATTTTCAAGGGAGCTAGTTTGGTGCTGATTTAAGAGGGAGGCCCTTAGACATGAATATCTTGGATTCCTGGAGGGGTGAGTGTACTATACAGGAGAAGGAGGCAACTGAACAGAAGATGGAAAAATCCTGAAAAGAAGCTTTGGGATAGATTGTAGGCAAGCATTCTTCTGGAGGCAATCTGCCTAAAATACACGACATCATGATATCCCTTCTGATATCAGACAGCTGCTCCTTCCAGATTCTACTCCTGGTTTTCTGTGGAACAGGCTTAAAGACCATCCATTGATGCTGCAGTTACTCTAGTGACACTATTTGGTCCTTTATGCCTATCTCAATGTCCTTTTGAAGAGAGAGCTGGGTAGGTGGGGAACGGACAATTTCACAGTAGTCTTCTAAAGACCAAAAATGTGAAATTTCAGTGGTCATTTATGTCATTTAAATATACATTTAGTTTTAGATATTTATCATGTACAATCCCCATATTTTAAAGTGGTGGGGTGGGAGGGGGGAAAGCATGGGGGGGAGGGAGAGAGAGAGAGAGAGAGAGAGAAGCTGAGAGATTATGTGCTTTGTCCAGGATCAGTCACCAGTCAGGATCAGCTGAAGCCACTAGAAACAGAACTGGATCTTCAAACTCCTGAGTCTTGGTTGATGTCTGCACTACCATATCACTTACACCAGTTTTAACTGATGGTGTCACACTAATTGTGTCTTTTACTGGTAATTTGAGTTCCCTGCTGAGCCCAGTAGATTCTGGGCTGCCTTGTAGGCTGTCCTTGTGTGCTGATGGTCTGATGAAGATTATTGTTTATTTAATCCAGTACATTTTGAATTTTAAAAATGTTCTGGTCACAGAATATTTTTAGGGGATAAAAATGTTAGTAAAAATTCTAAGTGAATAAGCTTTGAGGTAAAAAGTATTCTCAAAGAACATTATTTACCTCCCATTTTAGAGATTTCCTGGCCTGACCATCAGTAATATTTCATGAGAAAAGGAAGAAATTTGGGTCATGCCAGCTATCTAAAAATTAAAATTAAAAATTAAATGAAATAAAATTAAATGCCATTTTTAAATGTTTTAGAATTATCATCCAAATAAACAGCTTGCTTTGGTCATTATAAATCAAAGGTAGCCTCAGAAGGCTGAAGCTTTATAAGCAAAGTTAATACATGAGTATGAGAAAAGTCACATCCACAATTTCTGAAAAATATGAAAAAGTGTTACAAATGGAATTGTTTCTACAGAGAATGCAATATACAGTATCTAGAAGCTGTCTATATATAGTGAACTCTATGCTGTATTATTTCATCCATTTTTCCAGTGAAAAGTGACAAATTCATCAACTGTTTGTATATATGGTGCATTTTCTCTCTTACCATAAGTAAATGGAATGAATAGACTCTTTGAGGATGGATTGTATAATATGTGGAATTTATGCTTGCTATCCTATAAAGAGTTATTTGTATATGAGATCTTGTAGACATGAGATTGAAAATATGCAATTTATAAGCAATATTAAAAAAGAAACATTAAATCCTCATGCCATGCATTTCAAATTTCTGGCTGATTTTTAAGCCTTTCAAAGTCCATGCTATTAAGCAATTCAAAATCTCTATGGCTATACATGTTTAGCTAATATTAACTCCACAACTAGCCACCCTGTGGAATTTTGCATGCTATTCTTCATTTTTTCCTTCTGTATTTTTTCTCATCTAGCTTTTTTAGAAATGTTATTCCTATTTCTGTCACACTGTCGCCTTTTAGTCTGTCTTGCAAGAATGTAACATCAGCAGCCAAATGAACCTAGGAAAGAAAAAAAAAAAAAACATGCCTGCGTCATTCATTTTTTTTTTAAAGCTCTCTAAATTTCTCTCAGTCTGTTTCCAGCTTTATTTACTTTCCTTATGGAATGATAAAAAAGACCTTGTTCTGCAGATGAAGGGCCCTTTACTGTGCATCCTTCAGAGAGGATCTGGCTGTGTGTCAGGTCCATGGTGGGAATCTGTAAATGGAAGGCCATGCAGGCCTGGCCAGACTTGGTTGACTGGGATGCCTGAACATGTGGACCCGTGCCAAGCTTTGCTCCCAGTGTAAGATTAAACTATGCATCCATATCAGGAAAATTCCCAAGTCATGGAGAGCCTCGACCCAATGTGCTTGGTCAAGCAGAACCTCCAAGGATAAATGGATCCTTAAATGATTTCTCCCAAACTGATTTGCCATGAATCATTCCGTCTTAGCTAAATAACATAATCACTTGTCTTAACAACATTTAGCAATTATTTATGGCTTTGAGAGCTTTGAAAAAATATCAAGTCAATAAATTATAAATGTAAGATTAAAGATTGAAATTATGGACATGAATATTTGATTTTCAGGCCTTTTCCTCTGTAAAGCATTTCTCGTTTCCCAGACACTTGAAGTAAGCCCTTAGGGATTACTTCTCTATTCATTAAAATGTGTTTACAGAACATGATATTGCTGACTCACTCTCAATAGAATATTTCCTCAGAGTTATTTTAAGTCACAGGGATAAATAAGATAAATAAGTGAAAGTGCAGTTGTCCCTTGGTATCTGTGGGGGGATTGGTTCCAGGACTTCCCCCCTCCCCCTGCAGTGGATACCAAAGTCCATGGATGCTCAAGTCCCTTACATAAAATGACACAGTATTTGCATATAACATATGACCATCCTCCCGTATACTTTAAATCATCTCTAGGTTACTTATAATACCTAATACAATGTAAATGCTATGTAAATAGTTATTATACTGTATTATTTAGAAAATAATGACAAGGAAAAAAAGTCTATACATGTTCAGTACAGATGCAACCATCCTTTTCTTTCTTTTCCCCCCAATTTTTGATCCATGGTTGATTGAATCCATGTTTGTGGGACCCACGGATTCAGAGGTCAACTGTACCTAGTAAAAGCAAGTAATAAGTGAAAAATACCTGGGTTTGGCAGGCAATTAATTCATATTTATTGAATCTTATCTGAGTCCTCTCTCTCACAAAGAATTGCTTAGCCAACCAGTCTGGATTTGGTAAACCATATACCTTAGTGTGCCAAATTATCTGGATCCTACTGGGTGCAAAAACCATGCTTTGTGATGCCTACCATGCAATAGAAGGATATAGATTGCACTTTGAAATATAGAAACTAAATCCACTCTTAACTTTTTCTTACATAAGATTTTTAATGTCATTATCAAAATTTAATAGAAAATCAATGAAAATAACAAGGAGACTACTATTTGGATATTTGGGGCCACATGAAGTCTGATACCTATCTGTCATTCAGCATATATAATCAACTGTTATCTATGCAAGCTGAAGACTTCTCTACCCTATTTTTTGACTTAGTTTTATAGTTTCTGCCTTTGCCATAAACTCCCAGAACTCTACCCTTTCCCTTCCTTGATCTCATGGCTACCGACTGTAGGACAAGCCTGAAAAAATGCTAGGGTAGAAGCGTGGAAGATCTGTGTGAATAACACATCATTTCTATTGTTTCATACTTTTGGATTACCTGTGACTCTATTATTTCCCTAATTATCACAAATAATTTAAGATCACATGCATGTTTCCTTATTGGGTAGGTCAATACATGTCTGGACTTTGGTCACAATATAGCACAACATTCTTAATAGCTAAGCTTCTGGAAAAATGAGACTTTGTTGACTGTCACCTCTTTCTAAGGTGCTGTTGGCTCATCAGTCTAAGATTGTTGGCTTCTCCCTCCACTTTCCTGAAACAGCTTTTACCGAGGTGCTCCCTGATCTTTTGGGCCCTAAATGTGATTGCTTTTCAGGTCTTGTTTTACTTGGCCTCTGCTGTGCTTGATCTTGTTAATCACTCCCTCCTGAAATATCCTCCTCCCTTGTTTCTCTGACTCCATTCTTTCCTGGTATTTATCCTACCTCTGTCTTAGTATTCTTTGCAGACTTCGTATTCTTCGTTTAACCTACTCATTATATTTTGTTGCTTTCTAGGGTTCTGTCTGTGACTCCCTTGTCTTCTTGCTCTACAGACTCTTTCTATGAATTCTTTGCCAGTTCCAATGCCTCTTCTGTCGGCATCTCTCTGTGAGCTCCAGACATGTATAAACAACTGCTTACGTGGTATCTTCATGTGCATGTATGTTGGATACTTCAATCCCAGTAGGTTCAAAACTGAACTCCTCACTTAGTCTCTTCCAACCCCAAGTATACTCCTCCTAGCTTTGCTGTCTTGGTTAATAGCAACCTTCCCTGCAGGTGGCTCAGAAAGTGTAAAAGTCATTCCTGAATCTTTTGCCCAATCTTGTCCCTTTCAGCCAACCAGTAACCTACTCTTACCTGTTCTACCTATTTAATGTTGTTCAAATCAGTCTTCTTTCCAGGCTACTGTCGGGCCTTTATCTGGTTTTACTCGAGGTCACCATCAGCAGCTTCCTAACTGCTCTCCTCCCTGCCTCCAGCTTTGCTCCCTTTTGTACACTTGCACTTGGTTGACAAAGCAATGAAATTCCTAAAACACTGTTTTCAAAATATCATTTCCCTGTTTATAAACCTATATTGGCTCTCTGTTTCTTTCAATATAAAATCTGAATTCCTAAACTTGTCATATGAATCCCTTCTTTTATCAGCTTCTGTAAAGAATTTAAACCTCTTTTTCATGACAATCCCTCTTTCGATCCACATGTCAGTCATACTGAACTAATTCAAGTTCCTTGTTCCTTGAGTGAGGCATTCTTTTTGTGCCTTTGGACATGACAATCCTTCTACCTGGATTACAATTTGCCCCTGCTACCATTCACCTAACTCCTATTTTTCCTTCAAAAGCCAGTACAGAATTTCTCTAGGAAGTCTTTCCTGCCCCAGTTCCTCCAATAGCCCTTACTTACACTTTATACATCTGATTTTTCTACTAGAGAGAAGATTCTCTAAGGGCAGCAACTGGTGTCTTGTTCATCTTTGCATGCCTAGTGCCTGACACTTAACAGATGCTAACAATTATCTTAGTTAAACCAAAGAATAATTCAGCCTCCAAAACAGCCTGCAATGACCCCCCACCTCCTGTTATTCCTGCCCTCAGGTAGTTCCCTCCCACACTGCACCAGAGTTGGCAGCTCAAGCTGCCATGTTGTGATTAGATCAACAAAGAGGTCTATGTGGCAATGAACTTCATGAAGTCTCTAGCCAACTGCCAGCAAGGCACTGAGGCTATGTGAGTGAGGTTGGGAGTAGATTCTCCAGTCTCATCAAGTCTTCAGAGGCTGCAGCCCTGGTCAATAGTTGGACTGCATACATATTCAGCTGTGAAAGATTCTGAGCCACAATCAACCAGCTAAGCTGCTCACAGATTTCTGATCCTCAGAAACCGTGTGAGATGATAAATATTTGTTTCAGGCGGCAACATTTTGAGGTAATTTGTTACATGGCACTAGATAACCTATACCCAGCAAAATGAAGAATGTGCTTTACCATTTCCAGGGCACCTCTGATTATCCCACAGAGTAAGTTGCAGTAGCACAGAGAAGATCGCCCAGCAGGGAGCTCCTCCACAAACTCCACCAGAGGATTCTTGTCTAGAATCAGGGAAAATTCATTTCTGCTTGAATTGTTACAACTCACGCTTGGTGTAATTCCCAAGTACATCTTGAAAGCAACCTGATAAAGAAAAAAAAAATTACTAAAACTTGGTCTAGAACAAACGTCTATTAGTAGGACAACCAAATACCCTGTTAACAGGCATTACCACACAATGGTTAAGCATGTAAAGTCTGTTGTCAGAAAGTCTGGGCTCACACTTAGCTTTGCAACTTATTGACCCCATGACATGTGAAAGTCTTGAATTCCTTTATTTTTATGGAACATCCTAAGGGACTAATTTTCTGTGAAAACTATGGTTTATGCATAAGTAAACTATGGTTTACTGCATTAAGGCATTGTTTGCAAAAAAATTTTTGAAAAATATATACCCTTTAGAAGAGTAAGAAATTAAAATATTACTAATCATCAATATATCAGCATGATATGTGTCACACTGATCCTAGAAAAGGATAAGGTCCTGAATTAGAAGGGACCCAGGACACATCTGCCACAATAGGGAGGTGATGGTCTGAGCAGAGGATGCTAGGGGTTGATTAGCCCCAAGGATGCATTTTGGGAAGTGGAGGGAATCATATTACTATAGATGACAAGTCTCTGAGAAGGAGCAAAAGGTAGTGCGGGGAGGCACATAAATGAGTGATAAATTAACTTCTCAAAAAAGTCTGCTGTTTTGTAGGGCTTGAAGAACTTTCCAATGTAAAAATGGGAGAAATCTTGGAGATTATTTCTTTTAAACTCGTAGTTTCACAAATGAGTAAACTGGTATTCAGGGAAGTAGTCCAAAGTGTTCAGTCTCCTAGTCCAAGGCAATTTCTTTCCACAAAACACAGGCCAGGATATTGAAGTTTATTAATGGAAGTTTGTCAGCTTGATATGTTGTCATATTTCAAGTGCCTTAATTAATATAATTTTAAAAATTAACGGCAGTGGAGGAGAGAAAATGGAAATAATTTTCTTAAATTATTTATAATTAGAAGTGCTAAGCGATTCTTCATTCATTCATTCATTCATTCAAGTCATTCTTTCAAGGTACTTATTGGGCATTGCCTATCCTGCACAGTGCCTGGCTCGCAGTGGGAGTTCAATAGCCATTTGCAAAACAAATAATTGAATGAGCACCGATTTGTATTTGACAACATGTTTAGATCCAGAATACATGAATGTTGAATGAGTGTTTGCCAGGTGGACAAGGTGGGAGGTGCGGGGGTAGCGAAGACACTCTTGGTAGCGGGAACATGCCACGGGCATGAAAAACCGTGATGAGGTTCAGAGGAGGTCTCATCTATCAACTTGTGGGCTGTGGGGAGCTCCAAAGGTGTGAACAGGCTAAAGCAGATTTGGATTTCTGTTTTAGAGGGATCTCCTTTGTGTCAATGTGGAGGATGGATTTATGGTTGTGGGTGGGGATGAACATAAGGTCAAAAACAGAGACACTAATCAAAAGGTTACTGTAATAGCCTAGGAAAGAAATGATAAGGACCTTTCTCATTTTGTTTTTCCTTCAAAACCCTCCCTAAACTTTTCCATGTAAATTTCACGTATCCCAAACCCTAAAATTTGGTTCAAGTCCCTAACATTAGACAGTTAAAGAAAATATAAAACAAATCCTTGTCATCCAAATCTTAAATCATATAGCAAGAGAAAAACCATCATGAAACTCTAGGTTTGGAGATTTTATTTGGCTCCCAATCAATTGGCTGAAACCCATTTATACTAACATTGATTCCTCCCGCTGGAAAATTCCTAGACTATCAGTGAGACTTTCCTTCTGATTTTCAATCCAAGCCACATGGAAACAATCTAAAAAAGGAGGCTGTGCACTTTGAATTTACTCTAAATCTCAGTGTTTAGGCTGCAATTTCATGGCCCAGTGTCCACCAGTAGGAGGCATTATATGAACACTATTGGGAAATCCTCATTCCTAAGGAATGACATTGTTTCCTTATCTGGCTGAAGTCAGTCTGAGAAGGAGGACTGTTTCTAATGAAGAAAGAGCTCCACTCTCAGACACTGCCATAGCTTCTCTGTCAATAACAAGGGCAAAACATTTTCCCTCTTTGTGTATCTGCAACATGGACGCTTTTCAGGGCATTTTAAAATTCTTTCTTAACCAAAAATCTGTTATAGGCTACAGCTTCTTGGCTCTACTGACTGTGGGAAGTGAGCGTCTCTTTTCATTTGTGGCTTTTAAGTGTCCCTGCAGCACTGAGAATATGGTCTATGGGATGGTTTTCGTTTTTGCTCCTGCCTGGGTGTTATTAATCCTGGCATTCTTTCTGAACAACAGGTCATGGAGACTCTTCACAGGCTGCTGTGTGAATCCCAGGAAGATCTTCCCTAGAGGCCACAGCTGCCGCTTCTTCTATGTCCTCGGCCAGATCACTCTGAATTCATTGCTGGCTCCAGTGATGTGGCTTTCTGTGGTTTTGCTCAACGGAACTTTTTATGAATGTGCCATGAGTGGGACGAATAGTTCAAGACTCCTGGGACTGATTTGTAACGGCAAGCCCAAAGAGTGTCAGGAAGAGCTTTTCAAAGTACCTTGTGGCAAAACTAGCATGCAACCCAAAGACAACGAAGAAATAAAACTCTCCCTTCAAGCCCAGTCTCAGGTAAGAAAGGACAAACTTGCTTTTTCTCCTGGTATGAGCTTGAAGTATTCTGTCCTCCTTTTAGCCAGGGCTGAGTCTGAGTCCTGCCAGAATATTTTGAAACTAAATGGAAATTGAAACACAATGCAGCATTAAGACAATCTCAGGAAAAGCTTTTAGAGGCTGGATGGCTTACTAAAATTGCTGATGGATTATGTCTTTGCAATTTCCCAAAGGAAAATATCCTCTGGGTTATGCATATGTAAATACTTAAGTACTTTAAAACAATCTCTCTGGGTTGACTTTGTAAATAATGCATAACACTAAATCATAAATTGAGTGTTAATGGCAGAGCTGTAATTAAAAATTACTCCCTTCTATGAATTATTTATTTCCTAACTGTTTTCTCAGAGAAACACACACACACACACACACACACACACACACATATTCACCTGTAAAATAGTGATGAACCAAATGAGCTAATACTTTTCAAAGGTGCATGTAATATAATTAGTGTAGAGATTCCCTTGAATGATTTCCTGCAACTGCTGTTTCTATGTATGAATACTGTCAAGATTGAGAAGAATTTCCTAAGTAAGGATCAGCAGTCTTTAAATAACCTTCAGTGAAAAGTGACCATATTCTCTAGGGAGATTATGTCTTATACTATTTATGCTATACATCTAAAGAAGTTCTTACATTACTTTAGAAGCTCAAGATTTGGAGAATGTTTTGTTTAGCAGAAGGAGATCATAGCTTTACTTAATTGATGAAGGAAGTGGCTTGCCATCCTTCCAGGTACTTGAACACAAATCCAGATGTACGGCCTTGCTCTGGCCTTGGGAAAAGACTGACTTCCTGTATTGAGTAGTAGGAATTGCATTCTCAAAAACAAAGCAAGCACAATTTGTCAGGAATGCTATTTGTTCCAGAATAAATGCACTTAAAATAGCATAATTTTCCTTTTTGAACAAGGATTTGCTTACAATAACACATCAAGACAAAGTCTGTTTTTAAAATCATACATTCCAGGGCCGGCCCGGTGGCGCACTGGATAGTGCGGCGCTCCCGCCCGAGGGTTCGGATCCCACATACAGACTGGTTCCCGCTCACTGGCTGAGCGAGGCGCGGGAGCAACGCCGAGGGTTGCAGTCCCGTTGCCGGTCCCCGGTCCGGTACGGGGGCAACACTGAGGGTTGCGATCCGTTGCCGGTCCCCGGTCTGGTACGGGCGCGACACTGAGGGTTGCGATCCGTTGCCGGACACGGAAAAAGACAAAAGACAAATAAATAAATAAATAAATAAATTCTAAAGAGTTATCTAGCTTTTTATTCTACAAGATACTCTCTACCTTTTTCCTATTCACCCCACCTCCTCCCATCCTTTATATATCTGTGTGCAATTTTGTTTTTTTTCAGTTTGCCGATTCCCATTCTTTCCCCCAAGAATTGTCTCTCAACCAGCTAGCTACACAAACACCTAACAAAGGTGAAAAAGAGTAGTTAGATGCTGTGTGCTGTATGCTACTAGAAAATACTAATTTTATTTATTTACTCTGACCAACGGAAAAGTTAAGTAGTTAGCTAACAAGGTTCTTTGTTAGTTCATTGAGTTTTTTGTTTTGACAGTATAGTCATACTCTTTTCTTAAACTGATATGTCAAAAAATTCTCAAAAAAAAAAAAATCTTTATTCAATGCATAAAGCATATCTTAGGTAAAACATATCAGGTTCGCAAATGTCTTCCATCTTTTGTTGAAGGAAGATGTTAACTACAAATGTTCTGACAGAGTGAATGATTTACGGTTTCCTCTGCAGGCACCAGACTCCATTCAGTTAGTGCTGGGTTCAAACACTTTTCTTCTCTAGACACAGTCATAAGGAAATCACGCACATCCTGTCATAGCTTTGACTGGGCACACTACCTGTTTACTTTTCAGCAGAATGAGGAGGACCTGGGGCTGATTCCTATCAGAGGATGCATGAGTAATGTGGACAAAGGGAATTGTATCAATAGCAGGTGCTGGCCACAGAGGTTCAGATAGCAGGAGACAACACAGTTGGGCATGTGGGTGGGGGTGGAAAAAGGACATTCATCCACGGGCGGGGCAGAGAACCATGAAATCCAGCTGGATGACTCTCTGTTCTTAAGGAAGATAAAATGGAGTAGTGGAGTCGGCTGGCCTTGGATGTGACTCTACCACTTACCAGCTATGACCTAGAGCTAGTGGTTTAACCTATCTGAGCCCCAGTTTTCTCATAGTTGGGGGTAATAACACCTACCTTGGAGGGTTTTTGGAAGGTTTAGAGATAATAAACATAAATGGGCACAAAGCTTCTGGTACAGAGTAGGTGGTCCCAGTTGATGGGAAAACTGCCAGGGTTTGTGCGAGAAAACTCATCCAAAATGGGACAGTGCAAACAGCTGATAGTGGGAAATTCACCACATTCTGGTTGAACTCTGGGTATTGTGAATAGAGAGGAAGGACAAGAGGACTCAGTGTCCAGGACTCAGGTGACGGCAGGTCAATGCTAAGGTTATGCAAAAGGGGAAAGGAGGTTTGAAGCTGACCCAATAGTTTATAACTCAGCCAGAATTGGCTCAGATACTGAGGTGAGATGGCCTTACAGGAGGTCCAGCTGTGGGGAAAAAGGAAGGTAGACGAAGAAGGAAAGGAGAGGATCTGAGGCAGCCAAGCACAAGTGATTCAAAGTAAATACGAGGACTTTTACATAGTAGTTGTGCCTTACTAATTAACGATAAGTACAGAAAGATACTATGAGCTCAGTAATGCTTTTACCTAAATGTATATACATTTGAAAAATAGCAGCATGTGATAATTGCTACTACTAACTGAATGCATGTGTGCCCAGCATCATTTCACTGGATCCCCAAAGTTACCCTCTGACGTGGATAAATTCCATATTACAATTGAGGAAACTGAGGCACAGAGAACACCCACAGTAAGGGGAAAGCTGAGGTTTAAGACCAAGTGTTGCCAATCCAGAGGTGGCATTATGCAGAGGCTGAAACCCTTCATAGTAACTCCATGGTCTGAGTCTGAGGTTGGGAATCACTGACTTAAAGCTTATTTGCAGTTCTGTTATGGTCTGAGTGGGTCCATCTGCAGATTGTTTCTATTTTCAAATAGGCCCATCTGCTGAGGAAGATGTAGGATCATTTAAATTAAAAGTAAGAGACACTCTGAGGGATGGCCATTTAGCTCACTTAGAGCGTGGTGCTGATAACACCAAGGTCAAGGGCTCTGATCCCCTTACCAGTCAGCCACCAAAAATAGATAAATAAATAAAAGAGAGAGACACTTTAAAAGAGATCTATTAGTTTCTTTGAAAGAGATCTGTTAGTTCTTTAGATATAAAATTAATTCCAATTTGCAAAACAGGATTAAAACAAAAAAAATTCAGAAGAGAAGTTGAGCTATTAAGACTTTTACTTTTAAAATTCAGAAAAAAATAGCTGAAGTCATTCATACTGAGAGGAGTTTGTTTTTTTTCTAATTACCAAAATTCAGAACAAATAATCTTCAAGGTTTGGAATGACCTTAATTTTTCCTCAACTTTTAGACAGGCTTTAAATTCTCATAGCTTCAGCTTCCCTATTGTACCATGTCTGTCTCTCTTTTCCATGGGTGGTGAGTAATGACATTTCTTTCTGAGAGAGTCTGCTTCTTTGTTCTGCAAAGTCACATGGGAAAAATGGTCACTAGCCACATATATGCATTTATCAATGCCTAAAAACACCTGGCTAAAGAACTGTGCTCAAATGACCACATTTACTCATGCATGGAATTCTTTCCTCTAATAGCTAATACTATTTGAGAGCTTGGTTTATCCAGCTCTTGAATAATCTATACTTTTTGCTCTTTTCCAGTGGCCTGCCTTCTAGTTACTGCTTTGCATACCAGCAATGTTGGGTAGGAGAATAGAAATTAGGTAAACTCTAACTTCATTTTGACTGTTAAAAAAGTGTTTGAACATGAAGATGAATGATTCAAATAGGTGTGGGGATGACTGTGGTATTGATTTAGCTATAAACTTCCCAGTAACACTACCCCAGCTCCCCGAGAAGTGACGGCTTTTACATGTCCTCAATATTTCTTCCTTCCTAAGATCCTGGGATGGTGCCTGATCTGTTCAGCATCTTTCTTCTCTCTGCTTACCATTTGCTGTGCTCGCTGCAGATCTAAAGTTAGCTACCTTCAGCTGAATTTTTGGAAGACGTATGCACAAAAGGAGAAGGAGCAGCTGGAAAATATGTTTCTGGAGTATGCTAACAAGCTGAGTGAGAGGAACCTGAAAAGCTTTTTTGAAAGCAAGAGGCCAGATGCCTTTCCCATGCCTACTTTTGCTGCCTGGGAGGCTGCTTCAGAGCTACATTCTTTCCAGCAGAGATGGCAGCACTACAGCACCCTCCACAGGGTAGTGGAGGATGGCCTGGAACTTAGCCCTGAGGAAGAAGAGACGACAATGGTCCTTGTGGGTACCGCCCACAATGCGTAGCTCATGTGCCATCAGTGACTCACGTGTCGAGCGGTGCGCTCATTCTGAGATCCTCCCACTATATCAACAGCGACCTGTGCATCTCTGTGTTTTCTCACTTTAGAGTTTCCTTACATGACAATAACACAAAGGGAAACTGCTTTGGAGCCTTCACATGCAGACAGTGTCAAGATGTGCTCAGATTGATTCTGAGTGGTGACAACTGTGTCCTCGCACTGGTGAAGGCTGGGCTCAGTAGGCCAAAACGCCACTCCAAGTTCTACGATTTTATGATTCAACAGAGGGATTCAAGCAAGAGGGTCTGCTGCTATCTGTAAACATCAGTCATGGTGTCTGGGAGCAGAAGCAGTGGCTTGTGAGTGAGCAAGGTACTCTTAACAGAAACTGCTGTACATAGTGGCATATGTGTTGCGGTCAGCAGGAATCCTTGTCCTGTAAATCTAACCTACTGCCTTTCAAGGATGCATGAAATTCTACCATTTGAAATGTATTTCCTTGGAATCTGAAGACTTCAGTCCTCAAAATCAACCAATTGAAAGAATATGGTGCCTAAAATTTGGTTTTTCAAACATTTTCACTGTACAGTGGAAGTATGCCCCCGGAGACAAGGGGCATCATGACTTCTGTGGGCCCTAGCATTTTTGCCTTCATGGACCACTTTCTACATTCAAAATGGTGGTGATATATATATACAGATATATATTTACATATACATGTATTTATGATTGCTTTGATATAAACATAAATATATTAATATTATATATTAAAGCACTTTCTTCAACCCTAAAACTCATTTGTTTCCTTCTGATTTTAAAAGAAATTAAAAACGCTTTTGTGGGTCCCTACAAATATTTTGGGCCTTAAGCACAGTGCCTATTATGCTGTGGGTATGTCTTACTTTGGGCTACTATAACAAAGTACCATAGACTGGGTGGCTTATAAACAATAGAAATTTATTTCTCACAGTTCTGGAGGCTGGAAAGTCTGAGATCAGGGTGCCAACATGGTCAGGTTTTGTTGAGGGCTCCCTTCCAGTTCACAGACTGCTGTCTTCTTGCTAGGTCCTCACATGGTGGAAAAGGCAAATAAGCTCCCCCCTCAGACATCTTTTGTAAGGGCACTATTCCCATTTCTGAGGGCTCTGCCCTCATGACCTAATTAACTCTCAAAGGCCCCACCTCTTAATACCTGGGGTGTTAGGATTTCAACATATGAATTTTGGAAGGACACAAACATTCAGAACATAAAAGGGTAAATTGGCCCTGCCTTAACTATCTGGGTACACTGTCCAAAGCAGTACTAGTATAAAACTGTTTTGTGGTTTTTGGTTTATTATAAATAATGCAAAATTTGCATTTTACTGTGTAATATATCCATGCTAGTTTATATACATACATAGATTTCCCTTAAATCTCTGAGTGGAATTGTGCTTAAGGAAGAGGAATCATGTTTTGTGCTGTGGGAACCCATGTCCCCTAGTCTGAGAAAGCTGGATATGGCTCCTTATTGCCATGAAACATGATGACAAACTGAAGAATCATACTGGTATAAGACCCAGAACATATCTGAGATATTGTGATTTATAATAAGAAATATGTATTTGATTTTTTGTGCCCATTCCTGGCACAGAGCTTCTAAAACCCTTATGCTAATAAGATGACTGGAGGCTGAAGGCTACTGGAGGGCCTCAGGATAGGGGCTGGTTGCCAGGGGAACCAACCACGTGATTAGAGGGTTGGAACTTTCAGCCCCGCCCCTAGACTTCAGGGGAGGGGAGAGGTGCTAAAGTTTGAGCTGATCACCAATGGCCAATGATTTAATCAATCACGCCTATGTAACGAAGCCTGCATAAAAACCCAAAAGGACAGTGTTCCGAGAGCTTCTGGGTTGTTCGACATGTGGAGAATGGCAACCAAGAGAGGGCATGGAAGGTCTGTTTCCCTTCCCTTAACCCTTGCCCTATGCATCTCTTCCATCTGGCTGTTCCTGAGTTATCCTTTTATAATAAATGGGTTATAGAAACTATCGTGCTTTCGTGAGTTCTGTGAGCCACTCTAGCAAATGATTGAACCTGAGAAGGGGATCTCCGCCAAGTCGGACAGAAGCTGTGGGCAACCTGGGAACCTATTGCTTGCAATTGGTATTTAAAATGGGGCACAGCCTTGTGGGACTGAGCTCTTAACCTGTTGGGAGTCTGCACTTAATTCCAGTTTGTGTCAGAAATTAATCATAGGGCACCTAGCCGGTGTTGGAGAATTGGTCAGTGTTGGAGAAAACCCAAACACTTGGTAGCCAGGAGTGTTATGTGTTGAGTGTAATTGTAGAAGGAACAACAGTTTGTTTTTCCTACGTGCAATATCCTTGGGAACTTGGAGGTACAGGGTCAGGTGGGGGTGTGTGTGTATGTCAGGGATAGGACAGGGATTAGGGATGAGAGGGGCAGAAGTGTCAGAATGGAGGGAGATAAAGACAAATGTTCCTTCTTAACCCTTCTGGACATGGAGCTAGGCTGCCCTTAAGTGTCTGCAGAGCGGGAAGAAGGTAACTGGGAACCAGCCAATGCTCATACATCTCTTGGGATGGGTGAGAGGCTGAAGCAGCAGTTCTACAAAAGTAGCTTCACTGTGGGAAGCTGAGGGTTGAGGAGTCTATTTTGGGGCACATTTCTGCCACCCTTAACCCCTATACTCAGAAAACTTACACTCATGACGATGGCTGCCTCATTAGGGAATGTCAGAGCTGCTTAGTAACAAGCCAGCAGCCCAGGTACTTTTTGCTGCAGCTTAGTAAGTAGCAGAGGAACTCATCCTCCTGCTCAGGAACACATCAACCCAACAGGTTCTCATCCCGACTCCTAGTCCTAAATTCCTTCAGAATAGTACTTTACTCAGAAGTAAAACAAATCCAAGAAACCTCAGTGTCTGATGAACAGTCTTGGAGGGGGTGGGTGGAGACAGGGAGAGCAAATTGGTATCTGTTCTTGGGTGTCCTGAGGCACAGTGATGAGTGGTTTTGGTGGGGGAGACTTAAGAAGGGTGGACAGTTTGCTGTCTTAGATTGGGCTCCCTAGAAGCACAGCCTGGCACAGGAAACTGTGTGTAAATGATTTATTAAAAAGGAATGATCTCAGGAGAAGCCTGTTAGTAGGACAGAGACAAGAAAGAATTTGGTTTTGAGTCTCAGCCCAATCAGTCCCATGGGGAATTCTGGAACTTCAGCCTTGATCCACGGGGAGCTCTGAAATGTCACTTTGGGCCTGATCCCAAAGGGGACTTTGGGGCCTCAGTTGTGACTATGAATTGTTCCAGGAAAGGAGAGGGCATTCTCCAGACAAGTGTAGGTGAGGGGCCTCTACTACAGTGGCCCAAGGGTGATCTTCCAGAGAAGATTGCACTGCAGCAACTGGGAGATAAGCATGCCCAAATCTGGTGATGGCACCAAAAGGGTCCCACTGGTATCTGCTATGACAATCTCCTGTAGGTCTAGAATTTAGGTCTATGGAAGAGGTCCCTGAGCTAGAGCCAACCCAAGCCCAGGCAGACTCCCTTTTTAAACTTCTAATTTCCCCTGAAGCTAAAAAGCAGCAAATGTAGGTATAGGCAAGCTTTTTCCCCTTACCACTACTACTCTGTTATATAAAGGAAAAGGTTGGAGAACGCTCTTTGACAAAAATGTAATGCTTTCCTGATGTGATATATTTAAGGTATTTCAACTATTAACTATATTACTCTACTTAGACTTTGGTGGTTTTAAATTCTCTAAGGCAAGTATCTTAATTTTCTAATATTTCTCTCTGTTGTACAAGCCAGGAATTATTTAGTTTCCTTTGTGGGTCATGCTTGCACTTCTATTTTTTTATTTTCTGAAATCATTAAAAAAAATCTAAGTCATTGGCATGAGAGGTTGGATGGAGAGCATCTGTGTTTGTCAGTGTTTCTCAATATGACAGCACATTGGAATCACCTGGGGAGCTTTAAAAATGTCTGGCCCCACTTGTAGAGATCCCGATGTAATTTTCTGAATTAGGGCCTGGACACTGGGATTTTTAAAAGCTCCCCTAGTGATTCTAAGGTGCAGTCATGATAGAGAACTACTGATTTTTATAGAGAGAGTAAGTGGAGGTGGTGGTGGGGTATGAAGTTGCAATGTTTGAAATGCTATCTAGGTTTCAAAGAGTGGTGTATGATAAAGGTTTAACAATTGGCTCTCCAGAGAAAAAGTCCTAGTTTGAAGTACTTGCCAATTTCCATGAAGCAATTTCAAGTTCCCAAAGTGATGTCACCGAATGCAGAATTAGGAAGGGATCCTAACCGTGGGCTTTCTTCAACTAGTATGAGCTTTCAAAGAAGATTTTATGGTGAGAATTTTTTTTTTCTCTGCATTTACATTGGTTCTAGCCAAGCCAGCTTTGGAGCATCTTTGGTGCAGCTGGATCTCATTTTAATAAAACTTAACATCGTCTATTAGTCAGTGTTCTCCAGAGAAATATAACCAATAGGATATAGATAAATAGATGATAGATAGAGAAAGGGGATTAATTGTGGGAATTGGCTCACATGATTATGGAAGCTGAAAAGTCCCATGATAGGTCATCTGCAAGCTGGAGAACCAGGGGAGCCAATGGTGTAATTCTCAGTCTGAGGCTGAAGGCTTAAGAACCTGGAGCTCTGATGTCCAAGAGAAGGAGACTATGGGTGTCCCAGCTCCAGAAGAGAGGGAGACAAAGCAAATTTGCCCTCCCTCTGACGTTTTGTTCTATCCATGCCCTCAGTGCAGTGGATGGAGCCTGCCTATATCAGGTGATGGCAGATCTTCCTTACTCAGTGTACTGATTCAAATGCCAGTCTCTCTGGAAACACCCTCACAGACATATCCAGAAATAATGTTTTACCAGCAATTTGGGTATCCTTTAATTCAGTCAAATTGATACCTAAAATTAACCATCACAGGTGGTAAATTAAATATGGTTCAACATTTTCAACTGAGAGATGGAATCCTATTCTCCTCCTTTCTTCCTTTAAATCTGACCTTAATGAGCGAAAAGAATATGGCAGAAGTGAAGCTGGATTGTTAGAAGTGTTGCAGTTTATGCCTTGATCTCTTGTAATGCTCAACAGTCTGCTAGAAGCCAGCCACCATGTAAGAAATCTAACTACCCAGAGACAAAGCTGTGAAGAAGCCCAAGCTAGCCAAGTCGAGAGGGAGAGGAAGACAGGCAGAAAGAGGCAGAGACAGAGAGGAACACAGAGAGGTGCCCAAACAGCCCCAGTTGTTCCAGTCATTCTAGCTTAGGTGTCAGACATGAGAGTGAAGAAGTTGTTTTGGACATTCCAGCTCCAGTATGCATGACATGGAGAAGAACCAGGGAGCTCAATTAACAGCCAGAACAGAAGGCCCCAGATGTATGGCCCTAGTCAAACCATTCCAGCCATCTCCAGACATTTGAGCCACCTCCACTGAGACTGCAGGCTTTTGTAGAGCAGTCCCCACTGTGTCCTGTCTGTAAAGTCACTGAGGAAGGAGACGCTAGCCAGGTAAAGGAAGAAAAGATTTTATTAGCAAGTGGCAAGTGGACCTACCGGGCTGAGCCAAAAAATGGCGTCAGCACCAAGGGGCAGTTGGGTGACTTCTGTTACAGGGTCAAGATTGGCATCTGGCCTAGCCTGGGAAGACAGTCACAATGTTCCACTCCGGATACAGCCTGTCCATGGGAACAGAAACCTGGGGAGACAGAAACCTTGGGCTAGCCTGGGGAAGCAGTTACAATGTTAGGTCCTGCTAGGTAGAGC